GGCAGTATAGCGGGAGTTGATGTATGATGTCTCGTAGTTCGTTGTTTTCCAGTTTGGCTACGAAAACATCTGCAAAGAGCGGGCCAAGTGGGGAACCCATGGCTACACCATCTGTATGTCTGTAGATTGTACCATTAAAAGAAAGTTGGACATTATATGTACATTGTAATAATAGTTCCTTTAAATTTTTAGTTGGGATTCCAGTTTGTATGTTTTCCTCATCAATGTACTGGCACAGGTAAGACAACGTCTCGAACAGTGGCATATTTGTAAAAAGTGACCGTATGTCTGATGAGCTCATTGTCAAATCTTTGACATCCAAGTCCCGAATTCGGTCGGCAAATTCGAAAGTATCTTTCAGGCTATACTTGCAGATTTTCTTCCTGACAGGGTCTAGGATTTTTACTAGCCAACGAGCAATTGAATGAAAAGGTGAGTTACGCATATCGAGAACTGGTCTTAATGGTGTCCCAGCTTTGTGAACTTTCGGTAGGCCATATAGTCTCATATATATAATCTCATGCAGCAAGTAAGCGGGTTGTGAAAGTTTCCAACCGAGTCATAACTCCGCAGGTTGCGTGTGAGATCCAGGGTTCGATCGCCAGTTGGGTCGATAGACTCCTCCTATTTTGAAAACCAATATTTAAATGCAGAATCAATATCACGAGAACGTGGGAATCCGCCATGAAGTGAAGGAATAAAACAGAATTAGAAACGTACACGGGTTCCGTTGTGTCTGCCGTAGTTAGACGGAGAAAATATCGAACGCATTCCTCTTTGACGGGCTTGAACGACAAGCGCAGTGTATGTGAATTGAAAGGTTCCAAAATGCCTTGATTAGGTTCGATTCGGATGACTTCGTCGGGCTGAAATTTTCGACACGATAGAGCAAAGAGCCATGAGGGATGTACGGTTTGCAGTATTATATGACTTTTCATATTCTTTCAACCAATCTGATAATATCTTGGCGCTTAACAAGCTTCCCTCAAATCCATTGGCCAGATGGTGCAAAACGAGTAAACTTTTGTCGCTCTGTTTAATCTGCAGGAAATCATTTAAAGGGCCAAAACTATTCGGTATCAAGTACGACACACCTGAATTGGTTCCAGGAACTGGGAATATAAAAGCCTTGCAAGTCCTTTTTGACCCAGTGAACTGATTATAGGTCTTCACGTAAATATCCAAGAAATTTCAATTTTACTTAGGTTGGCTCTGTGAATAAAGAGCGCTAACTTCTCGAGGGCCGTGAGGATTCATGGGTGATTAGTATAAGAAGTATGAGAACTGCTGTCGAAGCAAACGAATGCTGATTACAAGAAGGCAGTGTTTAAGTACATGATTGCTAGTCCTTCCCTATAACCTGATTGATCATTAGACAATTACAGGCGCAACACAGGGACCAGTACATCTATGTTAGCTACCGAAATTTCCTTCATAGCCGTTGAATCCAGCGGTAGATTGCATGGCTATTTTTGCATGCCGTAAGTTGTCTCATCCGGGTTTCAGTCCATCACCTCCCTGTAACTGATCTCACCTGTCTTTTTGGTGGCTTACCGTGGTGTGGTCACCGATGCATGCCTCAGCTATGTGAAGCCACAAATGGATGCAAGGTAAATGATGGAGGCCAGAGGAGTGAAATAAGGTCTAAAGAACACCAAAATCGATAAACTTAGATCTGTTGCTTGTAGCAGGTTACACATACTAGTGGTTAATGGTTAACTGGAAAAAGATGCCCACAAGGATACTAACGGATTATCTATTCCTGTCATTTGGTGTAACGTCTTTAATGCCTAAGATAGTGATGACCTTTTCCTGCTAATCCAAGTAAAGAAAGTTCCTTGAATGCTATGCTGTCTTATTCTCATGGCCTTATTGCCATTTTCCAGTAGTAATCGGTGATTCACCAATTTCTAATCAGTCATGATAGAGAAGGTCATTTTCCGCGATAAAAAGTGAATTGAATAAACTAGACTGAAAACTGTACTGGGTTTGGATGGCATTAACCAATTTCGAAGTGATCCCTAGTAAAAAATAGATTTAATTTGATCGTTTGATTTGATTTGAACGTGGCTTTTATTGGGGAAATTACATCCCAATACCTGCACACTCACCTTGTCTTCCATTAGGCCTAAAACATCGTACTATTAGCACATAGCTGTGCAATATCACTGGCGCGTTGTTGGGAGTACAGCGTGTGTACCAATGAGATCAGGTGAATTTTACTCGGTGTGAACACACTCCGTTTTATTAAAACGATTTCACTGCACGGACCGAGACAAAGTTCGTAAATACCAGCACAACATCCATCTCGGTGTGTTTTATTCACATTAGGATAGGCAGATCATGATGTGGTCTAGACGGATGAAGAGTGTGGATTTGAAACAAACTTCCGTTGCGGCATTCGGAGAAATGCCAAATCGAGTTGCTAGCCGTATGCTGTAGACTGGGCACCAAGCGACAAATGAACGGTTACCGTGATTTGCAGAGACCAGAAGGAGGTCTTCATCAGTCTGACATTGCTATAGTAACCACATGAGCGAAAGATTGAATTGGTACTGCAATACTCTATCAACACTTGTGATATAATAAAAACTATGGTGTTTTCCGTACAAGCTCAAATGGAACAAAATGATTGCAGAATTGAATCGTACCTCATTGTAGTATTGTGTTCTTTATTCATGACTGGTGTTCACAATCCGCGGTTATTTTGATACCGCACCGGAAGAGATTGTATCATGTATTCGTTATACTTAAAGATGAAACTCATTTTAGTAAGCATACTTGACCAAATGGTTTATTTGAGTTGAATTTAAAAAGTAAAAAATGAAATTCTAATAAAAAATCCTGCGTCTGAAGCCTCGAGTGTATGCGTATCTCACCATACGTCTGATATTATCAAGTAACGTATACTCTAATACAAAATGACATTGTGTGTGTATTTTTCTGTTTTCGGTGGTGTTATTATCTAACCGACGTTATTCGAGACAACTCAAGAAATGGATTTAATTAGCCCTCAGCTGCACATTTAGCTAGTAAATGATTTTTGTATTTTGAAGATGGGTCAAACACACAAGAAAGACGATTTTTTGCAATATCCTTCACACACCGATGAAAATATTGATTTCATGGGACTGCTAGATAGCGGTGAACCCTGTCGCCCACCATTCATGATGATATTTTGAAGTGGCTCAATGAATACGAACAAAGTGGTTTGAGATCAGAGTACCATGTTTAGAATAACCTTCTTGATTGCTCATAGGTACCAAACACGGGGTCTTGGTTGTTGGATTAACTACTTGGATTATAATTCCAAAAGGCCAGCGCCTGATTGAGCAGAAATGCTTATTAAGAAAGACGATTTCAGTATTGATAAATTGAATGACATAGAATGAAAAGTTTCATTTGAAATAGCTCAATTATAATTTCCGCAGATAGGCAGGATAATCGATAAAACGGTCCGTGAATTATCTTAACTTGAGTTTTGAACATATACTTATTCGCCCCAGGAGGTCTTGTTGATTTTTGTCCGCTGTGAGAATCCACCAATCGCATGCTTTCGCACACACACACACACACACACACACACACCGCAACCATACTACTCACAAATATGAGTAGTGCCGCATAACATTTGCAAGATCGTCGAATACCTGTCTGTTAGATGCATTTGTATGCAGTGGAAATATGATACTTTTAAATGCTGAAGCCATTTGCTCAAGGCGTTGGCTGTTACCCGGGTAGCTCCGTTTTGTGGGTTCCAACTCCCAACCCGGCAGGGACGCTAAATGTGCCCCTACTGATGCATCTCACTCTATTTTTTGTTGGTCACCGCCATCACTCGGAAGGCTTTGGGTCCTCCGCGAAACCAAAAACGTGAGTAAGCAGCCTGAGTGCACTTATCCAAACATGTGAATTTTAGTACTTAAGTATGGTGCAAGTATAATTCATGAAAATAATGGTCCAATTTGGAAACAGCAGATTCTGATTTGAGTCTGCAAGTCTGTTCTTACCATGCGGCCAGTTCCGCATTCGATGCGTATTTTCCATTGTCGGATAGTTGGGGCTGGATTGGTAATGACAACTTGCTTACACACGGAATCACCTAGTCGAATTGGGCCCAGGTTGTATTCCGATTGATCTGTTAACATTTTGGGTGCCTAAAAATTACATAAAGTAACGGTTTTTAATAAGTTTATAAGGAGGAACCTGGATCAAACGCTGAAAATAAGTAAACACGTGAAAGGAATGAACGGAGGAACAGAAAGTGGGGAAAACTGGTACCAAAATTGGATTACCGTTGCTTTTATTCACAAGCAAAAGAGAAACTACTATAAAAAGGAATGATTTAGGATAGAATAGAAAAAAGATGTAAGTAAAAGCAATATGAATATGGTTTTGGAGTTTAGCCAATTCCGTTGAGAACATCATGTAGACATTAAATTTAGATAAAAATGACACGTGTTGAGGTTCTTTGAAGTAGGCAGCAAACTATCAATCGCAAAAATTATACAATCTAATTGCCATGTATTTTAAGTCCACGCAGGTTTAATAGTTACTCAGCCGAATGATGCTTGATGGATACCTTCTAATTGTGCTTTTTGTCGCCACAGTTAGGGAAGCACATTTCTTTTGAAGATCAAGTCAAATGTTACAAAATTATCGGTTGTTAGTGTGCGAGGATACCGAGGGATTAAAATGTGATAATCGTAAATAGTTCACCTATCATATTAGGCACTGAAAACCCTGGAAAATCGCGTACAGAGACTCAGCTTTCCATCACTCAGAATTGTACTACTCAAATGAATTCAGTAGTGTGTGCAGAAGTTAGACAGCTGATTCTAGACATTAGGAATCCATCATGATGTCACCACATGTGTAATCATTCTTTTGCGAACAGAATAAGCCATTCCGTTTTATCTTGCATCATTTATGTGGTGTTTATGACCTATATTCCTGTTCTTGCGACTGCTGGAGTATGGTAAAAAGAATCATCCAAACGTTTCCAAACTGAGATGAATTTTTCCAGTCTCTATCGATCCTATTTGTGACTGTTGAGGTTCGAATTGGATAACATCATGGTCATTGTTGTGAAGTAATTTTGAGTTCTAGGCAATACTTATCTGGCAGTCTTCTGAGAAAGACCGATTTATGATATACCCTCATTGACAAAAGTGTCCGAAAAAAACTTTTCAAAGAACCTTACGATGGATGTTCGATATGCATGGGAATAAAGCTACAACAATAAGCACACACACCATGATCTCATTATTCTGATAATTCCGTAACACTTATTTTGTACCGCTGAAACACATACGGATTCTCAAACGGGTTCATTGGATTAGAAACTCATAAATGTGAAAAGAGTCTGAATGGAATCAGTGGTGCCATACTACCGAACCGTCACTTCTAGTATTTCGAGCCATAAATTGGGCTCATTGTCTGGCCGCGAATCAGTAACTCTAATGTGAACGAGCTGAACTGACCTACTGTTGACCACAGTCTTTGAATTTCATCGCTTGGTGGACCGATTAGCTTCACACCTTCCTTCGGGGAAAATGTTCCTTGTTGAGAGAAGGAAGCTAGACGTGATCTATACGCATCTCGGACGATGAATAAATGCCCAAGCTCAAGTACTACATGCAGTGAACTCAACCTCTACACTGGTGATCCATTTTTCCTACCAAACACCTGCAAATACATGAATGATCCAACACCAACAATCTGCTTCTTGTGCACGCTCTCAGAACCAAATTGAGTTACTGGTCGAATAACTGTAACGGATTTCTCTCATTTAAAACCCGAGTTCACCACATCCGGATTATCGAACAAAGACTTCAAAAGCGTTTTTGTAAATGTGACGATACGCACTCCCTCTCATTCTGTGGTTTGACTACACATACGTTTAAAGATGGGTTTTATAGAACAAAGTAAGGCTGCAGTGCACTGCATTTCGTTTGCTCATGATGTGCCATTGACTCAATCACCGATTTACGTTAGAAGAACTGTATAGATTCACGGTCAGTTGTGTTGAGCGATGGGCTGACTTGTTTGGATAGAAGTAGTGACACATACAGTCCAATCAGTTTGTCCCCATGTCAAATATTGTGAAAAGCAATGTTGGGGGTTAACTGATCCTAGACATTGGTGGGGCCTGCTGACACGTTATCTGCAGGCTTTTAGGTCTACTTCTCCGGATACTCGACTTGTGTTTATCTACTCAGAGAGTACATGGTTATTAGTACCAGCGTACTGATAGGGTCACTCCAAAAAGAAAACAACTGGTAGGTACAATCACATACCTGAAAATCGCATTCCAAGTGAAGCCACAAAGGATTCCTGGGAAGACAGTCAATGTGGCAGGCCAACTTCTCCATGAATCGGCCCACACTGGACGAAGATATACAGACGTCGATGAGAATCTCATCACCTGGAAGAATTTCTCCCAAGGCAGGTTCAAACACTACCAAAGTTTCGGTTTCTGAGACCTGTTGCTGGACAGTATCGATCCCGGCATTTTGTTCACTGTCATTGCTGATCATACTGCGATTCGGGGCAATGCATGCTCTGGTTGTTTGACTTTGCCAACAGAACGTAATGGGACAATGTGCTGATCCGTTTCTCAACTGGAAAGTGTTTTCGGTGGAGAAAAGATGTATATACTAATGGACGGACACGGTATTTACTCAGGATTATGCACAATACATACAGAAAGAAATATAACAATATCTGCACTCAGTTAATTGGAAGGATATATGAAAAAACTTGACTGAGCTGTTCAGGTTAGTTCCAGTATGGGTTGATTGACTCACGGTACCTGGCGGACTGTCGATTGTACGCAAACACGACGTTTGAAAGGTAGAGGACCAGCCCAAAACAAATTATCACCAAAATTTTAGGAAGGAGAGAATCTGGAATTGGTGTTGGATAACTATTAACCAGTACACATGCTTGGTTGACAAAAAGCAAAGAGATCAGGCCAAAAGTTCACTCTAGCTAACTTCAAATATGTAAAATGCAAAACAAACGTATACGTCAGTTCACCGAGAGACTAAGATGAAAGAAACAGATGTGGGTCGAGGATGACGTTAGGTTGAAGTAATCGTGCATCAATATCAACGATGTTTCATGATGTTATATCTTCATCATATATTACTGATATTGATATCGTCTTCTATGTACTGTATTACTGACCCTATAGTATTGTCTCCGAAGTTATGCGGATGAACAACACTAACAAAGCCACGAAAGTTTGTAGTAATCGGAGTAGACACGAATGACGGTACGCCGTCGCAGATAAAACATTGAATCGCACTGGTAGTTGTATCCTAGAACCTACCATCAGTGAGATGCTGGGAGAAGGTCACAGAAGTAGCGGGTCTTCCGTTGAAAGAAATCAGTGGGATTACATAATATGGATATGGAATCATCTGCGGTTTAACCGGCTTCAAACAATCATCCTTCTTTTTTCCCTAGTCACACGACTTCTACTTTAATTGCATGGCCTGTGATCGACCGATATTACTTGTCTGTGGTGGGTTGTCCAGAAACTGGAACGCGTCGACTCTTGGTTGTTATTATCTCGGTAGCTAGAGATACCACCAGTAGAGCCTTGACAAATAGTAACTTTGTATGGCGATCAGTGTTATCGGTTTGAAATCAGGGTTCTTAGCCAACTCCTCTGTATGAACTGCCAGGGATTTACCGACCCATACCACGTTGTTTTTATTTGCTATTTTAGTGAAATGTGATAAGATCTCAGTCTATCGTCAGGATAACCACGAAAGTTGACCGCCGACAATCACAAGATCAATCCTAGCCAGGGGAAAATTTCAGTGAGCGTAGAGCTGTTGACGTGTTTTTCTCATTACTAATTTAATCTTCATAGTTAACGCCAAATTCGCGCTGTAATTACGTAATCAAAACACGACAAAACTATAAACATGCATGTCAGACAAGAATGACAAATGGGGGAATGCGATTTCCTACTAGAAATTATTCTGTAACTGGTGACAACAGAATGCACTACTGGTTCGTTTCAGAGTGTTTGTTCGTCTGTAGAATTTTACCCCCATTAATACTTATTGCTTTGAAACTGAAGAAAATACTCTATCTGCACCCCATGGTGGTGATGATTGTTTAGAAGAGTTAAATAGCTTTGTTGACTTTGGAAAGGAGGTCAGGCAACAGAAGTCAGGGTTTGTTGTGGCAAGTTGACTGATCGAATGGAGGCACTCTTAGCATCGCCCCGGTATTTTCTCATTATGAACTATCGCATATTCCATGCGACCGCATGCAGCCTGTTGATAGTCTCCCGACTTTGCGGTGGTTACCAATATATATATTTCCCGGTTGTTGCCAGTGGTATGAAATAGTACAGAAGATGAGAGTTCCTCAATAGGTACTAAATTA